TAGTTTTCATTATTGAGATTTTCACTTAATAGGAGAAGATTACACTGATATCATTCCAGCTTTATCGTTTTTGTGCTGCTTTTAAAATCTTTCTATTTTTATACAGAGATAAAAAAAGTGAAAATGAAATATGATTAAAAAAATCGGTCATTATAAATATTTTAAAAAAAAATGTTGTAAGTCGATTTTCTTAGATCAATTGCTGCAAGCCAAGTGTTTATCAACTTAGTTTTACCACTTCTAATTCTTATTGTTACTCGTGGACTTATTGCAATATAATCCTGTAAATGTGTTATTTGATATATAGAGAATTGATAATGAATTCCTGTTTTTTATTTTCTAATTTAACTACTTCAATTCCAAAATATCCTGACTATACCACCATTTTCTATGTGCAATTAACATCAGCATAAAGCTTGATAAAGCTTTTAAAAATATTAAAAGTTATTGAATGTATGTCTATAATTTTAACTCTTTTCAATATAATGTAACATGAAGATAACAAACAGAAATCAAGCTATAAAGTCAATTGAAGCAATTCACATTGGTGGTACTTAAGATACAAAAGATACTTAAAAATATCAAAGGTAGGATCAGATGCCATAGAGGAACGTATCCCCTGCTAAAATTCCAAAATATTTTTTACAATATATACGTATATAGCTTTAGTCTCTTTTCTAGATTTTCTATCTTCTGTTTAACAGAGGATAGGTGAGGAATGGGTTCTATGTCAGCTACAACATTAAATATAGAATCAAAATTCATAATGCATAAATACTTGACACACATTAATTACACACATTACGTCATACACTTTGACTACACGAGCAGGTGCCTCTTCCTCTTTTCAATTTTTAAAATCAATTTTACTACCCCAAAATATATTTTTTTTTCGATTAAATATGTCATCAATTTTCATAATTAGTTCTTAATCATCCAAAATTTGCCAATACCTTGATTAACTTGAATTTTGACCTTTGACCTGATGTAATAAGGGCACAAATCTTGTCTGATTTTGCTGAAATTTTATATGCCGGTACCTTCTCTTTATACAAAGTCCCTGATAAAGTTTAATTGAAACTGATGATTCCAAAGCATAGTTATGGCCCTTTAAAATGATGTGCTGGAACACCGGAAATCAGAGGACGAAAAAAAGCATCAGACACACACTTTACAGATTTGAAATGCTCAGAACTCACATATGATACACTTATTCTCTTTCCTTAACATATTTTGTTATACCAGATAAATAAGAGTTTACAAATTTTACCTATTATATAAATAAATATTTCAAACATTTTTTTTTAAAGAAAATACTTCAAAAAAGCAAAAATTTCTTGAAAATTTTTAAAATAAAAATATTTAGCAAATTCTAATTTCTGTAAAAATAATATTAAAAAATTCTGCAATATATAAACTATAATAAATTATCAAAAAAGTGTCTGAAAAGAAATTAATCTCTATGTTATTAGCAGATTATCCAACCCGGTACTGCCGATATATGGCTGAAATAATGCCGATTCGGCATTAAACAATAAACAATTTATCAATCAATCAATCCAACCTGGTCGATTCAGCCTCTATCAGCAGTCGATATATGACTGAAATATAACCGACTAGGAGTTAAACAATAGACAATCAATCAATCTGTTAACATGTGGTACTTACTGCTCAAATTGGATTATCCCTGATCGAATTTAGACCTCGGGTATGGGCTCTGGGTATTTCATGTAATATTAAGCATGATTAGAAAATAAATACCATAGAGTGCAAAACACAGTTTTATGTATGACGTTATCATGACGTTACTAAATGAGGGACGTGCTGTGCATTTAACAGAGCAAGTCCTTAGGTTTCTTTTTGTTGTACTTTTAGGGTACATTTTCCAGCTTTTTAAAGAGCTACTTTACCTGCTACTCAAATCATGCAATTCTGCACATGTGAAAAATGGGTGATTTTAGAGTTATCTCCTACTAAAAAATAATTCTAAAAAAAATATTTGTATACTTTTTTCATTTAATCTTATGATAAGACTCTACTTTATGCAAATAAAAATAAAAAAGCTGCAATTTTCATGTACACTGCATAAAAATAGCAGGGAAATCCCTACCCATCATGCTTTTCTCTGAGGAAAACCCCCTTGACTTTATACGAAACTGTGTTTAGCTACCATAAATTTGAGAGAATTTTGGTTCCTTTAACTCTGAATTTACAAGAAAGGAATTTAAACATGCGTTTTACCTACATACATTCTTCTATTTGCTGTGGAACAAGGGGAGGCAGCTCGGCAATAGACATGTAGAAAATAACAAGATATAATTAAAAAGCATTTCATACACGTTCAATGAAATACATAGCATGTCTGTCTCCCATATATAATAACTCCTGGAGTTAATTTGAAGTTGACTACTAAGAACAAAAAAGGTGTTTGTGTGTGTGTGTGTGTTGGGGGGGGAGGGGGGTTAAGAAAAAGTTGAATATATATTTAAATGCACATAAATTCTTCCTGCCAGGTGGAACACTATTTTTGCACAATGTACATTTAAGTTCTTGGAAACACTTTTTCTTGTCAAAAAAAAAAAAAAAAAAAAAAAAAAAAAAAAAAAAAAATGATTTTCTCTGATATGCCACCTAAGAACAATGATGTCCAAGATGCCACAAGAATGGAATAGTCAGTAGGACCAAACATCCCATATGAAATGCTGAGAACCTTACTGACCTCACCCGTCTTGGACAATCACAGATCAGTGCCAGCTATCAGACAGCAAATGTTTAATTCCAAAAGCTGAAAGAAAAAAAAAGAAGAAAGTTTTAGAGATTCTGTACACCAGTTTGGCAACAGATAATGGTGATAGATGGAAACAGTTGATTGATTGATTGTATGTTGTTTAACGTCCCTCTCGAGAATTTTTCACTCATATGGAGACGCCACCATTTGCCGGTGGAGAGCTGCAAATTTTGTCCTATACTCGGCACTTACGGCCATTGAGCAGTGAGGGATCTTTTTCGTGCCAGCACCTACTGCGACACTGGACCTCGGTTTATAGGGTCTCATCCGAAGGACCGGTCTCCACGTCCCACAGTGGGATTCGAACCCCCGACGTAAGGATCAACTCCTTACTTAGCGACTCTAGAGCAGACGCTCTAACCACTGCGCCACGCGGGCGACTAGATGAAAACAGTAGGAAAAAAGCAAATTGGTACAAACTTAAGAGACAGCTGATTATAAACTTCTAGTGAAGGCTACTGTAGAGATATATTGTTGACAGCTGTTTCATGGGAAAATACTCATTTGTCTCTGCTACTAGTAGAAATTTGTTCACTTCTGACTTGAACCTGTTTTATATAAATCTAATGCACGCAAAATCAAGGACGAAAAAGCATCAATAAATAAATAGCACTATATAGATTGAATCGATTTAATGAGAAGTTCTATACATTTTTGGTCAATTATTTTGAATTTGACAAATATCACTTCAATCGCCTACATACGTATTTATGTATGATGTTTATCAGATTAAGCGCACATAGTCATACTAGTGGCAGATCTTACAGTATAAGTACTCGTGCATGCGAATTTACTTTTGTAGGGAAGAACATCGAAAACCTTCTATACTGCAGTGCCCTTATGATACCACAAGGTCTTTTAAGATCACTAATGAAATGTAAACCTAAGGAATATGAACGTCTGTCAACTGCAATTCAAAGAAGGATAACTCTTTAAGGATTATTTTAAAAGCAAATAAAGTGTACTGTACTTCAGGCCTCAAAAACTCCTATTAGAGGTCAAAAAGTGACCACAAGGACTTTAATTTGTAACCTGTACTCTTCATGATTAACTCAAAGCCGAAAACCATTTTAATATTGGTTGAGAAAATAAAAAAGGAAAAATCTGTTATCAACTATGGCCCCTTAAAATCTCTTAATTTTCAGAATTTCATTTTCAGAACCCTTCATGCTGGGACAATATAACAGACATTCTATACCTAAAATTTTACATGAATATTGTTAACTTTTAGAAAAAACATGATAGGAATGATTTTAATTAAACATGGTAACTTCCATAGACAATATTGAAAAACACATAAAACCGGAGGTACTTTTCAGAAAAATTTATTAATTGATACACCAAGCTTATGAACATTTGTGCAAAGAGAGACAACACTTGCGTGATTATTCCTGACAAAATTGAAAAGTAGTCGATTTCAATCCTCGTTAACTTCTTTAAGAGGTCGAAAAGTGACCCCACGGACCATAAATTTTTGATTGTACTCTTTAAGTTAAACTAAGAATCGAAAACCATTCAAAAATTTATTAAGAAATTAAAAAGTTACCGTCAAAGTCTGTTTTTAGCTTTGGCCCTTCGAAATTCCTTCTTTTCTAAATTTTACTTTCAAAACCTTATGAAATCGGAACAACGTCACAGTCATTTTATACTTTGAATGTCTTGGAAATATCTTCTTTACTTCTAGAGAAAAGGTGACATGTGGGATTTCATTTTAACAAAACTCCCATAGTCGAATTTTCAAGGACTCCTCAAACCGGAAGTACTGTTCAGATTGATATGAAACTTTCAATACCTTTTCTGCTAATCAGTGTAGACCTTATATATTCTTCAGAATTACGCTCCTATTTCTTTTCCGTTATTTTGATTATTTCATGTTTGGTTTTATTTGCAAGTAAAAAAAGAAAGAATCTTGCTCCTGTATAAATTTCAGTTTTTTTGCTTATAAAAACCGAAAGTGACGTTACCTAAATTACAAAACCTGGAAGCGAAATGCCTTAATAATAATAAAAAAAAGTTTCCTCACTGCTCAATGGCCCTAAGCGCCGAGTAAAGGTCTTAATTTGAAGCCCTTCACCAGTATATGGTGACCTCTTTATATGAGTGAAAAATTCTCGAACGGGACGTAAAACAACATACAATCCATCAATCACTCTATAAGCAGCATTTTACTCTGAATATATATCTATAGAGAGTTTACAATTCCCTTCGAGAACAATGAATTTAAAGATAACACAATTGAAATATTGCAAATGTCCATACTACAGCATACTAATATATCAGTATTATTGCACAGTGTACTGTTTACTTATATTTAATTTAACACACTCATATATTTCATGCAGATATTTTATTTTCTTTACTTGTCTGTACATACACTGGGCAACAAACAGATTGTCATTTGTATCTGTGCATATTCCCCAGGGTCCATTCAGTTCACAGTCTATGTAACGGAGGAACTGTCCATCCTGGTCTATGATGTGGACACATTCATTGTTATAATCAGCTGTAAGGATGTGACTCTGACTGTCTGTGGTGATTCCTCGTGGACTGAATGGTTTGTTCTTTGGAGCAGGAGTATGTCCAGTGTACCTGAATCTCAGTTTCCCGGTCTGGTTGACCACCACTACTGCTTCAGCTCTATAGTCAGTCACACAGATATCCAGGTTCTTGTTCTCAGTAATGTATCTGTAATAACCGCCAGATGAATAGAGAGTTTTACCCTGATCATCGAACTGAATGGTTTGTTTCTCTGTGGAGCCAGAATAACGGACAACTTTTGATTCGCTGTAATCATCACTGTCTATGAGAACCAGTAACTCAGTTGAGTAGGTACTACAGACACTGTAAGGTCTCCAGTTCTGTAGTCTGATCACCTCCTCTATCTTCTCTTTCCTTAAAATGCTTACAGTTCTATCAGTGTAATCCGTATAAACTAGATCTCCACTTTTTGTCACTGCTATATCTGTTGGTTTGTACCCGGATTTCGTTGTGATGGATTTAAGTCGTGATCCCCGAATAATATTAAAATTAAAGAGATTCCTGAGTGAGAGTAGTGATCCTTGATTGATGTTGTAGAGTTTCATGGTGTTGTTATCTCCCTTTGTCCAAATTTCTTCATCACTCAGACAGGCTACATTGTAAAGGTACGTATACCCAGTGTCTATGGTGGTGACAGTCTCTGGTTGATCAAGCAGCTGTTTGACTGGAAGAGAGGATCCCGCTTCTGGTGATTTCTGTGATGTCTTCATGCAGTAACCATGTTCATATGTTACGGAACTTGCAGATAAGACTCCAAACATTTTAGTAAGTTCTCCTGGGAGTTTGTGCGGAATGAATGTAGGTAAATATGTTAGAATTTTCTTTGGAAGAGTATTGTATATTTTTATATTGGATGTGACACTAAACAGTTTTGATAAGTCATTAGTGTCTAAAGCCATTTCAATTGAATTGATTTCATCCTTGATATCAGACATTTTCTTGTTTATTTCGTCAAGCTGCTTCTGTAGAGTTTGTAATTGTGTGTTTTTCGTCTCATCAACTTCAGCTTTAAGTTTCTTGAGAAGTTTGTCAATTTCTCTGTGCCAGTCCTCTCCATGTTTTGTTATGGCTGTTGAGAGATCTCCATAATCCTTTTTTAATTGACTCATTTTGTTTTGTACATCAAAGGCAATTTCCTGGAAGGTCGGATATATTGTATCTTTGAATTCATTACTTTCTTTTACAATCTTATCTTTCTTTTCACCCACAACTTGCAAAACTTTGATTAATTCATGACCTAAATGTTGATTAGATCCAAGGCAGCTGATGCAGACAGGAATATCACAATTTTTACAGAACATTTCACATCGTTCTTTGTCATGAGTCCTACATGTAGGATAAAGGAGAGTTGATTTCCTGGCTTGAAATTTAACAACTTTGTGGTTTTTGGTTTCATCGTTTGAGATATGTATCCCTACACAAGCCATACACAGGTTGACAAGACATGTATCACAGTGCATCTGAACCACAGCGGTCTCACACAGGTCACAGCGCATCACGTCCTGGGCACTGGTACGGGGGTCCATTGATAGATTTTGTGACTCTGAAGCAAAAAAAAAAAAAAAAAACAAACAAAACCCATTAACATTTCTCGTGCATATTTACGAAAATACTTAGTTGATGAATTGCTAAGTAGATTTAAAAGACACACCACTTTTGTGTTAAATTCACTGGATCTTTGTATCAAAGAAATTTAAAGAATGTATTACTTTTGTTAACTATGGTTATTCCTACTGAGTATTCAACAATTTTTAAACCGTTGTTAGATTTGCAGAAATGCTTAAATTACATCTATTTTATTCTTTACCTCACTTCAGTAATTGTTTCCGTCTTGTCGATCAATCTCCAAGCGCAGTCTATCTTTGAGCGCTCTAATCAGACGACACACATAACTGTCTTAACTAACCGTCAGATTTTTAAATGTCTAATTGCAATGAAGCATTTTTATAAATAACTGCATGTGACTTTACTCATTATAAAATCTTTTATTGTAAAGCACCAGATGATAATATTGATATGTAGCGTAAGAAATGCTAGTGCACTATGGATTGATTCAAGTTTGATTAGACTATAGACTGTGTTTTAATGTTTTAGTTAGACAACCCAGTCTGCAGGTTTAGTGTTAGGCATAAAGAAAGGTTGTATATTTAGAGCGATTTGGTTTAGCTTTTTTTTAATAATAGTTATATTTTTGTACATTAAATATGTATACATTACTTTTTTGTTATCATTATCTAGTTCGGACCAAAAAAAACTATATATTTAAATTTCTTGGAGTTTGGACACTTTTTTAAAATCCGGAATTCCTCATAAGTGCAATGATAATCATCCCCATCATCTGCAGGGACTGGTTACACGTTAATTTTGATTTTATGTAATGCATATTTCATAAAAAGAAAAGAGCGAATTTAATAACCTTGTATGTTGTGAAACATCACAAATCTTTAATCTTGACCCCTAAATTTACGGTCTATTTGCTTGTGATTTTAACAGTTAAAATAAGAAAATGAAACTGTTCCATGTACGTCCCACATACGTGCAATAAAAATGATAAGAATACAAAAAAGCTTTATTTTTACCAATTAAAAAATAAGATAAAAACAAAACATTTTTTCACTTTATTTAGAATTTTTCGTCTCTTTTAGGCTTATTAGGTTAGTCGAGTCACTCAATTGACGTTTTTTCTCTTCCCATGAGTCGTCTTCCCATTAGTTGGACAGTATTCAGCATTTTCATGTAAAGAAGGAATTTAATAGCTACCCATAAGTTATAGTGCATATCCTGGGTTGAGGCAGCTTACGCTTTATAAACCGCGAAGTGTTATGAATAGAAGTACTTATCAAAACTTCTAATCCACCACTCAATTTTTTTCAAGAGCATCTGTCAAATTCGGCAGTACCATACCAAAGTTTACATTCAAGGTCTCTATTAGTTGAAATAATTTTTTAACACAAAGAATTTTGATTTCGCTAAAACAAAAATCTACCAAACTCTTATTTGTGGTCATATGTTATAAGACTCTAATCAGCATTTCAACAAATAACAATAAATCATGTTAATGATAAAAGAAACCATGATATAATAAAATGAAAATATATTAAGAGTAGTTTTGAAACATTTCTTGAATAACATCGCAGAATGCAAGACTACACTAGTACATATATGTGTCCATAAGACTGTTGGTTTAGAGGTTTTGATTGATATATTTACACAATAAAAAAATTTCAATGGATTGTTTTGCAGGTATAGATTAAAAATAAATTTACAGAAATGTTCTTCATTTATTCATAACCTGACTTCTTAAATAATGGGGACCGTCTTATCGATCCACAAGTCTGTCTCTGTGCAATCAGATAATGACACATCTGTTCCATTAGTTGAATAGGGTATTTAAATATCCAACGTAATTGTTATCTGTTAAATTATAAACTATTCTTTAACAGTTTAAATATATCCATGTCATGGTAATACAAGTACATTTCTTGGCTGAAAAAGCTACGATTTTTACCGACAAAATATCAAGGCTAAACTTACAATCACAATTTTTTTCTAGCACTTGTTATACCCCCGGCTTGAAAAGTGGGAGTGTATGTAGTGATCGGGGTATCCGTCTGTCCGTCCGTCCGTCTGTTACGCTTTGGGGTACCCATCTCTTATCCACAACTCCTCTTATACCACTGAGTGAAATTTAATGAGAATTTCACAGAATGCCATTGTGCACCTCCTATTTTACTTTTTGATCCAACACATATTTTGGGTTTCCCATAGCAAAACATAGACACTGCCATCCTTTCTATAATATTGAAGGGTATCCATCCCTTATCCGCATCTCCTTCTATACCACTGAATAAAATTAAATGATACTTTCAAAATTTCTTTATTGCCTAATGCCATTGTAACCTTCTATTTTACTTTTTGATCTGACACTTATTTCGGGTCTCCCAGAGCAAAACATGGACTTTGCCATTATAATAATATTGGAGGCGGGGGTATCATTTAGTGAGCTCAGTGCTCATAGTACCTCTAGTTTATTTAGTGTCATCTGCAAATATTTTCAATTTATTCTCCAGAACCTGTGCACAACAATTTCTGCTTATCATCCTTGTGCGAGGGGAATGTTTACGCCACAGATCATAATACTTTGCCCTATGTTTTTTTCACAAAAATGAATTTTTGATCTAAGACGGACACTATATTTTAAATGTTAAAAGACAACATAGTTCTAACTCTTCCTTTACGACCAACTGGTAAGCACTTATCAACTTATAAAGGCTCGAACATGCGACGGTTTTATAATACATGTGTATAAGGTCACCTGCGGTTACACTATTGCTATCTGTTTTCGTCCATTTTTTGTTGGAGTATCCAAACATCGGGCTTTATCACAATAAGCATGTATAATCCGACTCCAAAAATGCCATGAATGAGCTGTCAATCAGACAATTGTGCAATCTGTCTATTTGTTTATCGTAATGATATCTTAGTTTTTCCATAAGATGGATAACCATATGCATTTCGAAACACGCATCTTAGTGTTCTTTTAAGTTGGAAACAATAAAGGGATAATTAAAGTAATTTATTAGTATTTGTTGCTCTGAAGTGGACTTTCTTTAAAATTTAGTAAAATTAATTAACACTCAATAACATTTTTCCCATGTACCATGTTTTAAAAGTGTTAATTAAAATTTCGTCAAATTTCTGCAAAAAATGTGGAGGGCAGTGAATGTTGAAAAAATAGATAAAAAATGAATTTTTCGATATAACCTTGTCACATTTGATCTCGGGAAAGTTTTGCACCCTCGACTGGAGTATTGTAATAAGTAGTAATCCAAGATTCATACTCCCCTCCAGAAATAATGGATATATAAATTTAAGCTCCGTAACAGACTTTGGAAATTTAAAAAAGTTAACCGTCAACTCCCATACATTGAGTAATAAATGAAGAATATTACAAAAGTATATTGGAAGATGAAGATAAACCAAAAAAAAAATTTTCCTAATAACCACTGCGTTTTTAATTATTTTTTTTAAGATTTCGTTCTAATCATCTTGGATGTTTTCATGTTCTTTCTCGACGTTCCCCAGAACAAATATTTAGCTGCTTTTTAATTTAGTTGTTTAGGAGTGTATCTTCCATTCAGATCGGAGTAGGAACATTGATTGTGACAACCAAGCACCATATTCCACTTTTGCACAATGTCGCTTGATGAACTTGTCGTTATCTTTGTCTTTAGTTGAGAAGGCCATTCCATTCAAGTTTTGGCCACCCAATAGGAAATCTTCTGAAATAAAAATGAAAAAAATCAATATAGTCTCCATTTATCATATGTGTTCAGCGCAAGTAATCTTAGGGTATAAGTATAAATCAAGTATAGCATTTCTTCAAAATAAAAAAAAAAACCTCCCTATTTAAATACCTATAACTTTGTTTATGGAATTGTTAAATGATTGCCTTTTAATCGAAGAAAAACCGACCAAAAATTATTCTAACAGTTATTGAAACAGATAGAGTACACAGCTTGTTTTACTTTTAACGTATGATGTTTGAAACATTTATATACCTTATTACTATAAAAAAAATATTACCAGCGGTCCATCTATATCCACTGATTGAAACAATGAACAAGTGTTCAGAAATATATATCTACTCATTTTTGAAAAAAAAAAACTTCATAAAAATTTACCTATGTTTTGTTCATTTAAGAAGTGAAGTGGGCATTGCTTTAATACTTCATGCTGATTAAGACATATTACAAAAACAAACAAACAAACAAACAAAAAAAAAAAAACAAAAAAAAAAAAAAAAAAAAAAAAAAAAAAAAACTTGATATGTAATATTAGAATTTTAATCTAGGTTTGTCCCAGACTGATAGAGGTAGGCGGTGTGAAAAAAGGGGAAAACTATTTTAGTTTTTTTCAATTCATTTATGCAAAAAAAAAAAAAAAATTATATCAATTTAAAAAGTATAGAAATATATATTCAGCCCACTTGTCTCCCATTTGCATCATAAATACTTCAAAAATATAAATCACTTATTTTTCTTCATGTTGTACATTATTAGAACGTTATTTTGCAACTATTTATTTTGAAACAAAATTGTTATAAAAAAAATATGGATATGATACTTCTTTTCAACACTACGAAAGGTATTCACGCGAAATATAATACCAAGGCAGAATGTAATAAATCGGTATTATTATATTTTGCATTATTATATCTTGTGTCGAGATCAACGCAGAATATAATAACGCAAAATGTAATAATCCAAAAGCAAAGATAAGCTTCCGTTGGAGATTTGTTTGCATCGCGTGCATCAAGTGTAACTTTTTGGCCGTTTTTTCCAAATATCTAAAATTATAGATATAAAATATATCACCGTCAGTATATTTGTAAGGTTATGAACATTTAATCCTCTTAAAGATACTATGCCTATGATATTTTTTTAAATTCCTGGATATTAAAGCTATATCATCACACTGGCGTACTACTTGAAACATAGACGCATTTCTGTTGTGCATTTATTTG